CCATACGATCATAGACGTAGAACGCTAGTGCTTATAAGTATAGCTGCTACGGTCACGCATAACCCCTAATGAAATCGTTTTTGTTTAGTTGTGGATTTTTGTGAGAAGTGTAATGTTCGTAGAAAGTAGAAGTCACGATTAAATTGTGTGCAGTTTAACCGTGACTTCTACTTTCTACGGACGTTTTTGTTTAGTAAAATGCTATAGCTAAAACGAAACTACCGTGACCTTTTCATTGGCTTGACTTCCGCTAGTTGAAATCCTCCCATACTAATCCCCGTTATCGCCTTCCAACATACTTGCTCCAACTATTATGCGACTATGCTAGTTGTTGACATTTACCGTAAGGCAGGTAAGGTTGATGATGCGTGGAAACCATTTTACGATCAGCACTCAAACCACTTCATGCTTACACTTAGTTGCCATACAACCTTCAGTGAGGAATGATGACCTTAGTGAAGTGAACCCAGTGCACAGCATAGACGCACCAAGCGAAATTTCGAATCTGCCTGGTACACCATGCGACCACCTTTCGGTCGCAACCGACGGAACACCGTATGATGCTGATTTGGTTTGATAACTACAACTTTCTGCAGACTTCCACTAGTCAGCTTTATATGCAATCTTGCCCTACTGAATACTTAACATCATGTGTACCATAAGCAGACGGTTCGGATATAGGCAATAACCAGCGCACAGCGGATGCTCTTCGTCATCTGTGGCATCTCAAATTATGCTCACTTGTTATTGTGCGCTTCATAACTTGGCCAACGAAACAAGCCAACAGCACACAATTCGAGGATCGGCCACTTCATTTCCTACTACTGAGTCAGGACTGCCACCGTAGAGTCCTAGACCGTCTTTTATCTGGCTAACCGAACCACTTTCTCCTCGGTGAGCTGTCGGAGACATGTGTAGTGCACTGCTATACCAAAGCAAGCCAGTTCTTCTTACTTTCTGAGCAAACAAACTGGGACAATCATCGCCGCTTAGTGCCCACTGCGCATCGTATCAATGCGGTCATTCTGGGGTCACTGGACAGAAGCAACGCTTTCATGCAGCGGAGTACAACGATCAGCAAACGATCGCTGAGGTATTGAAATGGTCAATATTTGCTGGTGTGAAAGTGACCGTCATTGTTTTGCTTCTTGCCGGATTTCAATAGACATAATCACCTTCGATTTCAAAGATGTTTCAGTTACATCCAGTTGCCTCTCGATTTCAGTGCCCTCGACTCTGATCTTTTTCTCACAGTGCAATAAGTTATGAGGCTTGCAGACCGCTTCTATATGATGCATTTTTAATGCTTACTTGGTTTTATGAAAACAAAATTTGCTGATTTGGAATAAGCTGGCCGGGTGTACTGGGTGGGGGCTACTTGCGTCATCGGTATGAAACATTCTATTCCATTCCTTTGCTTTATCTTTCTTCCAAGGTTGGTATAATCACGATGATATTGCAGATTGATTCCCTACAACTCACTTGTGTTAAGTATTGCGCATGATCAGAGAAGTTGTCAATCATTTAGGACCTAAATACATTACTCGTCATTGCAAGTCAGACTTCCCGGCACTAGTTCACTTAATTAGCTTAATGGTGGAGAAGTGCTTGGAAATCTGGACCGCATCGGGGCTGGTTCTGATCGTCGTTTAATTCGCGACTCTCAGCGCGCATGGCTGTCGATCCACTTTTGCTATCGCAATTACTTCGCGGAATCAATCTACCTATTCCGAAGGCATTAGCAAGCCATTTGGCTGTGATTCCTTATACCAGATTAGGCGAAGATCACTTGACTCTGGAGCTTCGGAAAAGTAGTCACTGTGTAGTATGAACGAACCCAACAGTGAGCCATCAATAGACATGAGCTCACGAACTGTTGACGACTACCAACCGACGTGGTTGAATTGCGCACTTTGATGCCCGTGGAGTCACACAGTTTATGCATCGTTCCCTCGTTTGGCACTTCTCGATTTCTTTGATTCCCTTCGTGCTCCACCTGAACGCACATTTCCCGTGCAACAGAATCTTGCATCCTGAGAGGATTTGTGAATATAAGGAGTGCAAGGTTAACCATGCACCCCCCCCCCCAGAATGGAATCCGCATGATCAGCCAGATCAGTGGCCACAAATTGTACCTGGCGTTGCCTTACTGAAAAAACCAGTGATTCATATGCCTCTCGCTGTCTGTCGCTCTCCGTCAATCCATGGACTAAGATACCTTTTAATCCCCTGATACTTCCTTTTGTGATGGATTTTATCCCAGTATCCACAGTTTTTATTATCATCACAAAATGATTTGACAGCACAGCCCAATGCATTTCGTGGCTCTGGTCAATTATGATAAATCCAGTGTTACTGCATTCGAGAATCTTTTGACCAGCAGTTATATGCTTTTGACGTGCAAAATGACTCATGGCTCACAATATTACACAAGTTACCTAAGATAGATAACATCTGAATCTATGACAAGTCAACATTAAATAAATAAACACCTAAATTCTTTATTCTCGGACAATGCGGGACACGCCTATGTAGGCATGATCATGGTAAAAGTACAACTAAATGTCGTGAAACGTGTAAAAACTGGTGCAAGTTAGCCATGAACATCGGAGCTGTAAGTTCGTACATCTATGTGGGCTTGCATATGTGCAGTTGTTATTCAAGTTCGATTATGTGCCGCTGCTTTTCTGACTGATAGTGTGAGAAGTGTTGTGTGACTTCTATGGGGCGGTGTGGTTGACTGGGTAACTATAGGGCCGTGACTTCATTTGGAGTCGAGTCACACAAATCCAGGCGTTTCTCTTCTCCTACCTTGTACCAGCTTGGCGGTACTGAGCGCCACATAATTCTTGCAGTGGGTGGGGCCAGTGGCAATTCTTAGATCCCAAGTGTACCCCGCCCAGCACTGACCTAGTCTTGAACTTCATATCAGCAGTGCGCACCGCTACTCGTCCTACTCAAGGACGCCAACAGTATTCGTCATTTATTTCACAGTAGAGGTTAGACATATCGCGCAAGATGTGTGGAGGTGTGTGGATGTGTGAATTCTAGACGACAGGAAGCACGTAACGTCTGATCACAGAGGATTTATACCTGCAGCTCCTCATTAACTAACCCTCCCCACCATTCGTAACTTTACGCTGGCTTGCAACTGCTCAGTTAAAATTTACGCAGCTAGTAGCAACCATCGATTGGCCAGTGAGGCACCAAGTTATTTCTTCTCCCTTACTAATCTATCAGTTGTTTTTTTAACTGTCATAATCCTGATTATAATCCGATCCTCTCTCCGGTATATCGTCATTAAAGTAAAACTGCAGCAGATCTTCTTTGAGTACGGTTGAATGGCCAAGCACCATTTGATGCGGTCCGTTGTCCAGAGAGCGTCACTGCTTTTGAAGCTTATACAGTCAACTTGTTAAAACACACAAACAATTTATGGATGTTCAGGGTTGAACTGAGATCCTCATCAGAAATTTGGCGGGCGAGATCGTTCAAATCTTCAGCTGATGCCAAAAGCCAACTCCACTGTTCGATTTCGATGCAGTTCGGAAGTCCTATTCATAGGGAACTCGTAAAAGAAACAGGATGGCATCAGGATTGAAAAGCAATAGGTTTCAAAACAGTTGTAATTGTAAAGAAATAAAAAATTGGAAAGGTGGGCTAAAGAACATTTTAGCAAATGGCAGGAGTCGCTGGCATTCCTTCACTCCTTTATTAGTTGAATCTTTTATTAGTTTAATCTGAATTCCCAAAAGTACGAACTACACTGAAACCTTTTCATCAGTGAGAAATGGTCAGAAATGTATAGCAAGTAAACCATTAACAACAAATAAGTAATGTTAAATCAAGTGTGGGTAAAGTCACTTCAGTGGGCAGTATTTTTCGAGTTTCGAAATGACTGAGAAATTGCTGGTTTACATTCCTTTAAAAGCACAATATCACTAACCAGGCATATATTAAAACGTACAACTAAAATCGAGGCTTGGCTTTTCAGTTAACTCTTTCCTTAACTTCACACTAGCCCTCCTTTAACAAATACTGTTATAGTAGGAATTAACCTGTCTTCCGTTCACAGTCTTGCTAGTTCCCACGATTACCGGTGCTTAATACCCCACTAAATGAATGACTTCCCCTAATTCCCTCAGCCGATTTGTTGGCTGTTCTGCGCACCAACAATACTTATTTGCGACCACAAAACTCGACTGTCTTCTGTTATTCGGTGCAGGCCCGACATCTGCCGCACCCTTTTGAGCGCATGCCAGTGTGTCGTTTGTCGTTGGAAAACCCACCTTCAGGCGGGACAACCAGCTGCTTAGTGAAACGCCACGAATTCGTTCATCTAACGCTCATGGTCAGATTTCTGGTTACCTTATGGAGTAAGGAATGACGGGCACGCGTCTTGTCTCCCGAGGGGTTTTCCATAACCAAACCACCAGCGAGCGCTATCTACCCTCACTATGTGTTGTACTGATAACACCGTCACTTATTGTTGCACATAAGTCGGTTAAACACTGATCTTTTGCACGACAGTTGTTTGATTATCAACAACTAAGGCCGAATGCAACCAAACCCACAGCTGCTCACATGTGACCATACTCTGTCACACATATAGCCCACTGTACACTTGTAGACAAATCGGTTTTTCACAGACTACCATAGCAACACGGCTTCACTGAGTGCACCCATTATTTCCGCCTCTTTGGCTATTAAAGCACCCCACCCAGCCGTTGGCGTACGTATGTGCAGCTGTGCATACGCTCGCGCGTCTGCTTTCCACAAAGAATTCTGTATGCATTTTACTCCTTGCTGACTGCACCTGTCACTTTAGCACCGATCGCGTTTTCAATTCTGTACCTCATCGATTTATCCATCTGCCCTCACTAACCTCATTTACCCACCACCTCATCGATCTGGCGGGTCGTCATTACGTCATGTAAACCTCCTGTGCTCTCACCTCGCTCGATGTGGCCCGCTGGACTGTGTCGTCGCCATTCCACCACCTACACCGCCCTTCTCCGTATAACAACAGGGGTACCAATCTTCCACACTGAAACCGGCCGGGAAAAATGGCAAGCTGACAGCAGTGAGTTACCATCTTAGTGCTTGCTTTCCATGTCGGAGATGTTTTCCATGTTGGTGTTACGAAACGGTATGTCCGTGATTGATACCGACTAATTAAATGCATCAATGACAATATGCACATGTTCGAGTTTTGTTTTGAATCAACTTTGAGGCTTCACCAGTTCTTCGCAAATCATTGCCAACAAAAGCCACTGTCTCAAGCGAGACAGTCTTAATCTGCTCGTGGCTGTTTTAATGACCTCGTGCTTCAACATAAATTCGCACCTGTCTTTTCCCGACATCCATTTCTGTGATGCCACTTCCGTATTACGCTTGTGCAAGATGTAATCAGACGGTTGTTACTTTCGTTTCTGCTCCGCAGGCACTGTGGCTGGCTCATCTACCGCTTCATCTCCTCACTCTTATCAGCGACGGATATGCCACCCTGCCAGATACCGTTGTCAACTTGACAACTACCTTGCAATAGAGAAACTAACTGCGCTATAATTTCCGAGGTGTACAGATCGTGGGTCACCTTTGGCTCAAGCATGTAAAAGAGCACATGATGTAGGTTTCCGTTTTCACAGTCTGTGTACCGCAGACTTGGTACAACGAAGTCGAAACCGTTCGGCGACCAAATCTCACAGGCGTGACGATCCGAATTCGATCTGGTGCTCTACAACACGGCGCACAGTCCGCAAGAGCAAAATCTTACACTTTGACTAAGAAGCCATACGAATCGGCAGCATTACGACAATGATGGCAACGGTTATAACTGGCTCATTAGAGATTACATGTACAATTACGTATATGCGTCCACTTTTCGTATTGTCGATTCCGTGTACTGCTAAACCAAATTAAGGTACCTTAGGGGAGTGGCCTTACACATAATAAATATTTATGCTCCGGAAAGAGGTAGCTGGCATAAAATAGACGGAAGCAGAATTTGTCAACGGAAACGTCCTGTTACATTTCTTATGCTAGCTTACTCCTTCGGTCGATCAAACTGCATATATCATTCTACTCATTGAGAGGCATACCCCAAGGCAACGCAATCTTTCAATTACTCTAAGGATATGCTTACTTTGGACTACCCATCCGTAGATTTACGTACAATTCCTTGCAGTTTCTTGGAAACACGTTTAGATCAAACTTTTCGCTTACTCAGATTTCCTTTCTTTTCCAAAACAATTTATCCAGTCTATCTTTCTTTGTCTTCCCATACAGCCAGTAGGATTTGTTACCTTTGAGTCACGTGAACAAGCAGAAGAGGCGATGACCAAACTACAAGTGAGTTATTTCATTTAAGCCCTTTATTTCATACCCAAATATGACGTCAAAGACCAATGTCTGAAGCAGTCGTCAGAATAAGTATTATTCCTGCTTCAGCGCTCTGTCTTTCCGAGGAGTCCGAGTCCATGTAGGCCCGGCTACTGATCTCGATTTCAAACCCTTTACATGTACCCTTCAGCCCGTTTATGTTTTTGGCTAATCAGTTTGTATGAATTGACGGAACTCATAGCTTTTCTGGTATCCCTTAAGCGTTACTTTAATCCTCTGACATATGATGACCTCGTTTGACACCCTCCCCAACAAACGCGAGCACTTGAAAAACGCGGAAGTGGTCGCATCAAGAGAAAATAGTGAGTGGAAGAGAACCGCTTGCCATGAACGCTCATCGGTCCGGTTTGTTGTCCCAGACAGGCACGAAGAATTTCGTAAAACCAGCACTTCTTTTGAACGTTGGTGATATCCTTTTTCATTTTTACCTATCAACCTGACTGCGAACACAGCACGTCAGCCACATGTCCATCCGCACGCCTCATATTCATTGTAGTTGTACTTGAATTGCTTGGTCAGCTCACCTCATAGGTTCACAATGCACATCGCATAAAGCGAATTGAGCACTATAGGCTAATCTTCTTGCCTGAATGAAGTTGTGTGCTGCGTTGTCCGGAGATTCATAGTGCCATTTTAAACCTACCCGAAAGGATTAGAGACACATTTCCCACAAATCTTCCCTTGTGACTCGATGACCTTTGTAGTTTGGCCTCAGTCTTCTTACGTCCCTAGCCGTACCCGTTGGACTTCAGTTGTACTGTTCGTATATAGTGAATCGTTTCAGTAAGCCGCAGGTTTCTCCTTGAAACCTTTTTAACGGTAAATACGAACATCAGTACAGTGAAGACAATTCTGTGTATGCACCTCTGAGTTTCAGGCAATTTACGGTCCGTGTGGATTCAACACTTACTCTGATCAACGTAAAAGTGCTACCCTAGTTCATATCCTCTTTTGCCTGGTAGAAAAGCACTACAATCACACGGACTCTATGTGATCAGTTGCGTTCAAGTGATAGGCCCGGTAAAATCAGCTGTGAGTTCACGTACGTATCTCGTTGATTCGCTATTGTTTATCGATCTAGTTTTACGCAGCGGCGCCGTTATTCACACGAAGTGGCCTTAGCAGAACAAACCGTCGGTGGCCTTGAGCGTATGGCCATTTGATCAGAAACCGCAACACTGTGTGCTTAATTTTTAACACTGCGATTCTAGGAATGGACCACTCGGTCTCCACCCAGGTCCTGTTTTTGTGTCTTTCTCAATAACGTGAACCGATACCATCTCTGCGGCCCTCTTTCCCAGTGTTCATTTGATACCATCAAGTCATGTGCACCGTATCTTCTGTACTGGTCTGACGGGACATCTATGATCCGTATTATCCACTCGTTTATCCAATCTTCCCCTACAGGGTGTTCGCTTCGACCCCGATGGAAGTCAGCACATGCGTTTAGAGTTCGCACGTACCAACACCAAAGTCACCAAACCGAAATTTGTTGCGCCTGGTACGTTCACCACAGGGCCTGCAAACGCTGCCACAGCTGGTGCTGTTCCTGCCGCTCTGGGCGCGCATGGGTGCTCGGCCACTCTGATGGCTGGTGGGTTATCGGGTCTGATGGCCGGAATTCAACCCTCGCTGTTCTCACATTTCGCCAGCACCGGAGCTTCCAGTCCCTGTAAGTAGGCCAAACGTTTACCTCGCGTGTCCTACAAGTCCGAGCACTGCGCACTAGTTCGCTTGATCAGCACGTTTCTAGGCCAATAGCATGACCATTTTTTCTATTTTTGCTCAGAGCCTACTGGAACTTTTGGCCTAGCTAAGGCCAACACTTTGCTGAGCCGTTGTGGTTTATCTTTGCTTTATTAGCTACGCTACAACTTCCAGTGGATAGCTACCGAACCTACTTTTTGATACCGACAAAACACTAATAAGCCATTGAAAACAAGTTTGTTCGCTACTTACTACTTCTAAGGTCCGTGTCCATTAATCAGTAGTTCTTCTCTTAATATTTATGTCAATCTGCATTTGGGAATCACGTTGTGCTAGTCTCCCGATGTTACTTCCAATTCTGTCCCCCTTGATCAGTTCTCCGTTTTTCTGTAGTTGAAAATTCCTCTGCGTTATTTGCTACACCGGATGCCCTAGCAGCAGCTGCTGCAGCTCAATGGACACCTTCCATCGCCTCAGCTTACGATAATGCTTCGTACCTCGCTTCGGCTGCTGGATTGCTTCAGGCAAACAACTTCAGAGTAAGACGTTCCCCGTTGACTGTCTCTGTCTTCCTCTTCTGTTAGCCTATACAGTTAACTTGATCCGATTGACGTATTCTCTGCGATTTAGGCGATTATTCCGAGCAATATGAACTCAAGCGGGTTCAACTTTCCTATCGGTCTCACCGCCACTTCAACAACACCAAATCTTCAAATATTTCAGGCCGCAATCCTTCAGGCAAACGCAGCTGCTGCGGCCGCTGCTCTAGGATCTAATGGCTCCACTTCGGTAACCAGCTGCTCTGGTCCAATATTATCCGTATCGCCACAACATGCAGTGGCGCAGCAACAGCTTTCACCGGTGTCGATCGCTGGATCAAACGTTACTGGGGTATCAACATCCAGTCCCATCAGTGTGTCAAGGTCGTCACCCGTCGTCGCTTCCCGTGGAACCGTACAGTCAGCAGTAGCAGGAAACGTTTGCCCATTTCAGTCTCCCGCCCAATCGCAAATGAATTCGTATATCGCTCAGCTCCATCAGCAACAGCAGCAGGTGTGTATTGATGATATATATGTAGGACAATGAATAAATCTGACCTTTTGGCATTTTTAAAATAACGTTGGTTATCAAGTTCAATAGGCAAATTCTCGTTTCCGAAACAACAAGACAAAGAAGCCAAGTTAAATATTCATATGTAGTATCAGCATTATAACAAACAGATAGATTTTCTCAAAAATAGAACTAATCCAAAAAATTGACGTAAGAAATGGTGCACAGTTATTTGTCATGCATCAGGAAGGTCTGCATAATCTGACTTGATCAGCCGCTTAATGGTTTTAAATGTTCTCATCGCTTCCCCTAAGAATTCATAGATAAATTTACATACACACGTAACTAATTGAGAACTCATGGCAGCAGCTTCAAAAAGTAGATATGGTAAGTCCCAGAAGTATGGTCCCTCTACTCCGTTAATGCGGGACTAAGGTCCCTTCAACGAGTGTGAGGTAGAGCGCACTAAATTGCCAACTGTTCAATGTCTCACCTGGTCACATGGATATGAACGACCAGTATGCATGCATGTGGGTACATGTGTACTGACCAATCTCGTCCATCGTGAAAACGCTGGATGGCGCAAATGGTTGAGTTGGAGTCAACCTAGGGCACGCCACAGGGCAAGTTCAACGATTGATACCTAGGGTGTGTCGGGCTGGTTGGAACGGAAACAGGCGTGCGAAGTCGAAACAGTAATGCCTGATTACCGCGCTGCTGCGGTAGAATCGTGGTTGCGCTTGCGCATGCGTAACTGGCCTGAGCAAGGAGTGTGCAATAGTTGTTTAATGTCATCCCAGCTAATGACAAAAAGGTTATTGGCAACGCTTGTGTAGACTGAATGTCACCTTCCAACAACCTACCTTAGCATAATAGGCATTCCTTACAATTATCCCTCGCAAATATGAAATGTGACGTTTTGAGAAGAGAGTCTTGAAAAGCTATACCGCTGCCGCATTGCCTATTCTCCCGTCACAGTATTGCCCGCCGTTGCAGGAAACAAGTGTGGTTACGCTGCTCAATTTGTTTAGGCGGGACCATGAGCGTCCGTTCCAACATACTCACTGATGAGGCAACATTCCATAGCATGGAATGGAGAAGCTGCATTTCTTGGCAATACCTAATCTTCGCGGATACTGAGAATCGCGTATTACACAAAGCACAAAGCTCATTGGTCTGAAACTGTAGAAAAAATCGTGGGAGTGGAAAGCGTGTTTATGAAATGCAGCGTGAAAAGAGAAGGTACCTTCTGCGGCTGCTAACTTGGCTTCTGTGTTTCCAAACGTTGTTGATCGGAAATAATTATTTCAGGAGTAGATGTTGCCGCATATACTGATACCTTTAACGATCTGATTTTTACTGTTGCAATAACCGCCTCATCACGAAGCCTAACCAAGTCAGACCACGGAAAGTATTTGTGTTGCTAGCACCTAAGGTAAATGTATACCTCGAACTCCCATGTATGGGTAATACTGTTTCAATGGGGGTAACCGAGCGGTTAATCTCCGTTACTCATAGAACCTGCTGCGCTGCAGATGCTTTGGTGATCTACAGAATCCAGAACTTGTTGCTACTTTTAGTAAAGGAAGTGGAACCCATCAGCTTATACCTACGGCGTCACGTAGATAGGCAAGAATGAGAGTGTTTTGAATTCCAGAGTGAAGGAACACCAGGTCAACTGGGTTCAACGTGAGGTCAGTCATCCTTCGCACGATGTTCCGTGTGCACGCAGATATCCTTTATTGACCCGTTATCGGATTGACCCCGGCTCCGCATTTCGGAGACTGCATCATCCCAATTCACGCTTCTCGCGGTTCGCCGTGGCCATGACTAAAAGCCAGCAAATACCAGCCCTGTGTGTGCAGAAACAATCAGTTGATCTCTTACGAATACCCCGGTCTTAGGACAATTGCCGCCGTTCACTCCTTTGTATTAGTTTTGTTAGTAACACCCTTGGAAAGGTCTAAGATAATTTATAGTTATTATGTTGGCGCTGATGAAACAACACGAAATGCACGCATTTACCAGTGATCATCCTCTCGTTGTTTTATTCAAAGTATTGAAGGGAACTTACTGTTTAAAAACAAAAGCTTTATTTCTGGGCGGGGCGAGATACTGTGATGGCATATGGACAGATCAATGCCGACATGAATGAGTTTCCTGAGACCGGTCACACATGCAGTCGTAGTGTCCCACTGACGCAAACCGAACTATGACATAGTATATGAACCGACAGTATGCATCCATTCACAGGGACTTACACTGTGCGGCCAAATTTAGCAACATGTCATGCACTAGTTACCTTGCTCGCATGTGGTCATCTGCTCACGGTATGCGACAGCTATGCCAAGTAAGGAAAGGCTCTCAGGACTTGTTGCAAGTGTCCATTCAGTCGTGCACGTGGCCACCAGCTCTTTTTGCTACTTAGCCCCTGCTTCAGTCGAGCGGTGGATCAGGTGTCTGTCGCCACAATGAAAGTGCAGTTCATCGCTGCTGACGCGCCCGTAGTTCGGTCTGGGTCTGCGGGGTACAAGGCTTGCATGCATGACCTGTCGGCCGGTTCGAACAACCCGCCACACCTTCGATAGCTGCATTGAGGTCGTAGACCTCAGAATGTCCCGCATTGAGCATATAGAATGTAGGTGAAAAAATCAGAACTTTAGTAAAGAACGCTTGCATTTTCTCCAGTTTCGTAGGAAAACCATGTTTAAACAAACGTGTATGATGACTACCCAAATGGAGAGCGATTTTCCATTCATTAAGAAGGCAACACGCGACAACAATTTTCATGTTCCGTGTGACAAATGCAAATCCGCATTTTCTATGGCTCACGGTGGTACATCATATCATAAAGCACTAAAATCGGAGCATTAAACGTATCAGTATATGCGGCAACATCTACTCCTGAAATAATTATTTCCGATCAACAACGTTTGGAAACACAGAAGCCAAGTTAGCAGCCGCAGAAGGTACCTTCTCTTTTCACGCTGCATTTCATAAACACGCTTTCCACTCCCACGATTTTTTCTACAGTTTCAGACCAATGACCTTTGTGCTTTGTGTAATACGCGATTCTCAGTATCCGCGAAGATTAGGTATTGCCAAGAAATGCAGCTTCTCCATTCCATGCTATGGAATGTTGCCTCATCAGTGAGTATGTTGGAACGGACGCTCATGGTCCCGCCTAAACAAATTGAGCAGCGTAACCACACTTGTTTCCTGCAACGGCGGGCAATACTGTGACGGGAGAATAGGCAATGCGGCAGCGGTATAGCTTTTCAAGACTCCCTTCTCAAAACGTCACATTTCATATTTGCGAGGGATAATTGTAAGGAATGCCTATTATGCTAAGGTAGGTTGTTGGAAGGTGACATTCAGTCTACACAAGCGTTGCCAATAACCTTTTTGTCATTAGCTGGGATGACATTAAACAACTGTTGCACACTCCTTGCTCAGGCCAGTTACGCATGCGCAAGCGCAACCACGATTCTACCGCAGCAGCCCGGTAATCAGGCATTACTGTTTCGACTTCGCACGCCTGTTTCCTTTCCAACCAGCCCGACACACCCTAGGTATCAATCGTTGAACTTGCCCTGTGGCGTGCCCTAGGTTGACTCCAACTCAACCATTTGCGCTATCCAGCGTTTTCACGATGGACGAGATTGGTCAGTACACATGTACCCACATGCATGCATACTGGTCGTTCATATCCATGTGACCAGGTGAGACATTGAACAGTTGGCAATTTAGTGCGCTCTACCTCACACTCGTTGAAGGGACCTTAGTCCCGCATTAACGGAGTAGGGGGACCAGAATTTCCGGTCTTACCATAGTCCCCCATATGCCGGGAAATGCACTTTATGTCGGCTTCGATTTGCGGGGACTCGTCGGTATTGCGCATCCGTCGACTCCCTCAAGATCGGAAGCCGGAGACACACACTATATATATATATGTATACATATATATATACATATATATATATATATATGTTTGCACGGTGCATGCCTGCGAAAGACCAACATGTCGGTTGCGGCCTGAATGCTGGAACTTGCTGTTCATTTCTGCGATAGACCGTTTGCGCATTTTTTTAACATTGATAGGCTCATAGCTTGACTCCATGCAGTGTGAAGTGGATTACGGTCAAGGCGCTGCCCTGTGTACGTCTGGCCCGCAGGTTTCCTTAGTTTTATCATGAATGATGTGCATATTGGAATCGTTAGTAAAGACTCTGTTGCAATCGTGCTTCCCATCCACCTACCCACGGTCTTGTTCCTTTGGGTTCTTATTGCAAGCGCGATGTGCTTGTGTAGTTATTGGTGGTGCAACGCACTCCACCGAGGATCCGTATGTTGCTGCAGACGTCTGGTGGCTGTTCACCATCACGGTGCCAAGCAAATGCGGAAGCGGATACTGCCAATCACATATACCACATCGCTAAGCACGCTATGCCTAGGTGGTTAGTCGCTTGTTGCTGCATGTGAGATGATTGTTCCGGTGCCAGATTAGTTTAGCTTTATTTATGTACTGCGCACTTGCATACCCAGGCGGTGCTGCCAACTCGGTTGCTGAATTGAAGATAATGTCAATCCTTAATCGTGGAGAGGATACGTTGGGATCACTGACTGAAGTCTATGTGTCAGAATCAATGGACGAACCCCAATTAGTTACTCAGCCAAATGGGATCTGTGACGACGGAATCGGTTGAATTTGGAACCCGAGCTGTCTCGGCAGTCACAGGGAGCTTGCTAACGAACTTACCGAGCCGATCCTGATGACTCGGTTACAGTCCTAAAACGCAGTCAGCGTCACCACATTCTCTGGCTATCGCATGCCATCGTCATCGATAGGGAATTCCAACCACCGTGCATTCATAGGCAGCTGACTTGACTATAAGCCTATCTTGGTGGTGTAAGCGCTCGGTCATCCACGATCTTATATCACATTTTTTGCCTTATCTACCACTTTTGTATGTTTGTGATTAATAATCACGCACAAAATCGCGGTTTCATCTCACAAATTGCATTTTCTACTTTTTCACCTTGGAATAACGCCAATACTAGGGGATTCTGGGGACTGCAGATCCCTTCAGTAGTGTTGGGTTCCGTGTTTGATTTTGTGCTATTACCTACAATATTTTGGCCTTCTAGATATCCACTATGCGCGCTTTTTTCAATTTTGTATAACGAACAGGTATGATATAAACCAAATGTTTACAAAAGATGTGTGTACTCGTCCTGCAGTTTCTGAATGTTACTACTGGTCAATGAGGATTTTCGCTCGGACATTGCCAACCCTATGCAACCACGGTACTGAATCAAGTGTGATTCCGGTCTATATGCCTTCCGAGCTTATTTCTTCAAGTTCACGATGGCTACAGAGGGTTAGTAGAGCTCCGCATTACGCGACATGGGCCGCCTGAAGCCCGCTAAGTTCTAGGTGATTTGCAGCTTCACACAACCGCACTTAGTTGCAACCTCGGATACGTAGGGTAGAAATGATTTTTAATGTCTTTGTATTATTTAAAATGCATTTGTGGTTTTTCCTGCAGTCACCTAATATTCCAGACGCATAACAGGTAACCTCTTTAGCATAAAACTGACTTACCTAGTTAAACTTCTAGTGATTTGAATTCTGACTATCTATCCATCTCAACTTTGCAGTCATGTGCATTTTCACATGCTTCTTCATACATACTGTCTACACTGTGTTAATTATAAACACACCTACCCTGTTATGCCTTTAAATTAAAGTACGGCTCCTCTGTATTGCCATCGAAATTTTAGGTATTCACCAGAGTATGTGTTGCTACTGATTTCCATAAATGTATTTGTTTCGTAGTAATGCGACAGTGTTCAGTGTGAAGACAACTCTAGCAGCTATTACAGCGTGTACTATATAAGTTTGGAATTGTAAAATGTTTTCTGTGAACCGTTACTCACATTTTGTTTGAAAGACCACTCTTCCTTTGCCTAACGCTGTGTATGATTACTACTTGCCTAGTCTTCCCACCTCGTTTGCTGAACCAGGTCAGTTGACCACTCATTTGTACTTTGGTTACACCGTATTTGTCTTTTTGACCATACCGGTTGTGGGTAATCGCTTTGCAAAAAGTTCATCCTAAACACCCTGAGTTATAGCTTCTGTCGTAGTTGTTCTGCTTAATCGTTTATTGTTTAAAACCCGCCCGTTTGATTTCTTGATCATTGACCATCTCACATGTCCGGGGGGGGGGGTAACACGTTTAATTTCCATGGCTTTGGAAACAATCGCATGGCAACCTCAATGGAATACCTGAGTTCGTTTAGCTTCTGGTTGGAGAATACATCTGTGTTGTTCAGTAAAACCATTCTGTCCACGTGTACGACTTCAACCACATACGAACTCACAGATATAGGTGTCCATTCGTGCAGTTCTGTCTGTAAGGCAGTCCTCTTGACATATCTTTTGAATGGAAAAAACGTAAACACGCAGTGCCGTTATTGGGGGGGGGGAAGTATTACGTTCTAATATCAGTCGACCATAGCTTCATTTACTAGTGTCAATTATAATCATCTACCCTTGAGGTAAAAACCTTAGGACACAGTTCCAGACCTACCATTATCTACGTAACCCTCAAGCGACCGTTGTGTATCTGCGTGTGTGTGAATTCTCTCGGTGATACACTCACGATTCACGTACAAGAACGACCCACTCGTCATCGAAACCCATGGCGATTCCTCTACATTCATTTTAACTGTTAAGAGTGGGTAAACCATATTACATGCACGGGTGCGTTTCAGGCAACTAACTAAGCACTAACTAACCAATCGTAAACCGCCCTTCATCGATCAGCCACTACCACGATAAGTTTTGTTGACGTATCATTGACAGTCTCCATATGCGTTACTCTGGGGATTGATCACTGGCGTGCGATACATCGAGGGTGCCCCGTACTCTGGTTCAGTGGCATTTTAACGGTGCGAGAAGACACGTTGGCAGTTACGGACGCAGCACCTAATGAAACAGTGCTATGGAAACAGTTCCTGACTCTACTGGTTGACCTCAGCCTGGTCATCAAAACCTATATTTTTTAGTGACCGTCTTTTCTACCTTCTCTGACTTTACCACCACCAATAAACATTAACCTACTGTTATTTGACTGTGTCCGAAGTAACCATCTGGAGCCTTCGTAAATCCTCCTCTTCTCATTCTGTCGAAGTGCATGATTATCTCACGGGTACAAATTCTTTTGCCTGATTGCGGTCATCACATTCAAAATAAGATTTACCCGGGCAGCTTGGTTTGAAGGAATCAGTAGCTTAAGATATGTAGGTTAACAAAAGAGTCTCATTCTACCAGCGCATCCTAACGTAACTCATATAAATGACTGACTTGTCACTATTAATCCATTTTCTTCCGTAAACTTACATTAAACACTGAGTAAATACGTTACCTTTTATCTGAATTTAAATTTGATCTCCTTGCTGCCCATTGAGTAAAATCGCAGTAAACCAATTCACTTGTTGTCTCGTTGTGGACAACCTCTTGTCTCAGGGTTTAAACATCATCTCAATATGCTGTTGTTTTTCGACTGAGACGAAGTATTGATAAGTTCCTTCTCCACGACGCTGGAGGTCTACCAGAAGCAAGACCATAACCATAGCGTTGTTCTGCTCAGAATTGCACGATCGTTGACTCTCTTCTGTAAATGGGCCCACGAAAACTATCAGATCAATCTTTGTTTACCATACCTTCAGTGACGCACATCTCAACAGATGTTAACTTTATACCTACTATAACTGACACAATGGCTTTATTGCCTGTACGGTTTTGCTCCACCTTTGCCAGACGCTCGCAGCTGTCCAACTCGGCCAGCAGCAACAGCATACTCCGTTTGCTCAGGCGCAACAGCAGCAGCAGCAGCAACAGCAGTCAGTAGGGTATGCTTCCCAGCCAACCGGATTTCCCAACCAAATGACCGCTGCAGCAGCAATTGGTCTGCTTGGAGGATACAACTCCCTGGTGAAGGAACTAACCGGCGGAGAGGCAGCCCAACTACACTCTGGTTTGCAAGCATATCACCAGAATGTGAGTTTCAAACTTTCACTGCATTTCACTTTTATCTTACGGTGTAGTATGCGTTAGGTCGCACGCGTCACGCCCAAGTAGCTTTTAACTAACCGCCTATGGGCGGTCTGGCATATATACTACTAAATATCAGAGGGAACATCTGATTCAAAGTTGCATTGTTTACAGGTCTTAGTGGCATAGTGATCAAGGCATCAGCCTATAACCACTAAGCCCCGAGTTCCACCCTAGCTCAGGCTATCTCCACCTGATGAGTCCAAACGAGGGCGAAACCGGTTATGGGGTGTCAGGGTAGGGAGGAGCAACACCGAAACACATCATGGAGCATGATATTTTTAAACAGGGGAATCGACTCAAAATACCTTTTGTACCGCAAGCGCCCTTATGGGGTAGAGGAATAGACAAGAGATAAGAAAAATATACCGGAGAACCTTGAAGATGAATTGATATCTTGGGCCATCTTACTCAAACATCAGTATAGCCTAATGCATTGCGTAGCTCACGGTTAACATATCAACGGTAGCGCCACATAGGAATCAGCCTATGAAGGAGCCAACTTCCAGAAACAGTGTTTGCATGTCTCCTAATCAAGTGCCCCATGATTTCAAACAAAAAGTAAGACAAAGCGGATAACGTTTCTACGTTTATTTGATCTTCATAGATAGCTTGTGCCAGTTTTGAGCTGCACATGTTAGACCGAACAATCTTTTCCAAATTAACTATCTTTTTGTCATCTGCCTGGTATATGCATTGTCGGTAGCATCTGCATGTGGGGGATAGCAGATTTCAGCCCCCTAATACATGATAGCGAAACGGTCCACGGCTTTGCCCCAAGGTGACGAAAAATCAATTCGTTACTCACGAACACATGCAAAGTCTTCTTTAGGGAACCTAGATGCAGCGGTCCATCGTCGAAATATTCTTGCGCACACTTGCAATTTTGAGCAGGCTCTATCTTGTTCACCAGTATCGCCTCTACCAAATTTTCGGTACTGGTACCGTGATGGTCACTGGAAGCACGTATTTGATGAGTTTCTGTAAGTGCTCGAAGTATACACACGCGGTTACAAATGCTGTCCACTTAACTCTTGAAAAGCGTTAGCTGATGCATCTCACCAGTTCGGTCCGGTATTCATTTTCTTATTCGCGTGCTCACAAATTTCCCTTTGGCCCATTCATTTAACCGCCTTCAAGCTCGTCCCATATGCACAAGGGTTTTCGTATCACCACATAACTGCAGATGATTATTTACAAATTTCTGCTGGGAAGAAATAGGCTTCTACCGATTGGGTTTTTGACTAACAGCTTACCGTATGATTCCGACTGTCGCTTTAATTTGATGTATTATTTGTGATTTTATCCCAGCAGGGTAGCTACTGAGCAAAACATGTCAACAGGATTCGCCTTCTCTCATTAAGAAGACATTTGCAGTCGCAGTTACTTCGACCAGGTAGACACCATAATCTGTCTACCCACTGCAAGGAATTAATTACCTTGAGATTCAACACAACGGGTTTGGTATCATTCTTATACTTGTACCCTTGGTACTTTGGCTGTGCAACCATCCCTTTCCAACCCTTTTTGAGGGTAAAATCTGGGTCCTTTACATATCATCTTCAGTTATGCTTGTTTTCTTTTGGTCGTTTGGTTGTTTCCTAAACTTATTTTCTTTCGCAATCACTTTGCTAACAATATTGAATGGCTTTGTATAAACACAGCTTGCGATTCCCTCAGCGAATTGCGTCGGGGTTTTAGAAGTAACCGTGCTTTTCTACATGCACACACGCACTTGGATGTGCGAAAACGATCTGTTTCATTCATTTCCGATTTCCATGCCTGGCTGATGTTAGTTGTCTTCGCAGCCGATTGCATGGCCGATTGCACCATACATATCAACTGAAACAATTCACAAGGCTATCTCCACAAGCAACCCGCCGATACACACTGTTTCCTACTCCATTGTCTGGTATTCATCTCATCTCATCTGACCGTTTTGGCATGCGAAGTGTTTTCAACATCCGTCTTCACAAATGTAATATTTCCTCCGCCCACTTCCTTGTATTTTTGTTAATTTGTCCAGCTTTCATTTGTAATGCCACTTATTTCGGTCGGGTTATTTTATCGACCAACTCAACATTGTTTTGCATATGTGGTATGTGAACTCCTTCCGCAATTCTGGTCTCCTTTACGCGGCATTTCTCGTGTGATCTTAACTCACGCAGAGCCTCCTTTCATACTTTTCGCAGTGACGGATACCAAACTGGTGTACAACTGTTCGCCTGTGTATTTTCCACGCATTTTCACTCTCTCCCTTGCTTGGTAATTTCGCGATTCCGTTTGAATCGTGTCAAGACGTGTGTTTTCAAAGTACTTCGCGTCGCACAATCGGAACCCAGATGTTTCTTTTCTTATGGCAGAGAACGAACTGTCATTTCGCAGGTAATGAATGCCTACCCTTCCGAACAACTGACTTCTTATGCCAATGAGCTGTTATCCGATGGATTCGTCATAATCGACCAGTCGACACCTCTTGTCATGTACCGATAGAGAAACTGATCGAGAATGCTGATACATAGACTGACTGACTCGTGAACTCTGTAATCAAAGCGAAACTAACCACACCTCTTAGTCCTCAGACCACCACTCCCATCAGTAAACGTACTTCTTAATCGATGGCTTCAAGTCATCTAGCTCATTAAGTTTTACTAGTGTCCCTTCGGCGTGTCGATAAGTCCGTCTAACCAGTGCTCCGACCATCCAATATTAGGAGTTCGCTTACCAAAAGCCACGTCTGTGCTACGATAGCTGAATTTACAGGAACCCATCTGCATTCAACAGTTGATAGTCACAAAATATCGGGCAACAATTTCTTTACGAGAGTTATGCAACCATCACTGTATATGTTGACATGCACATCAAGCGCAGCCACACCTGGCATGTCAAACAACAGCCAATCAGTTGAAATGACATTAACAAATGAAATATAACTGTTAAAGAATACAGGGTTTACACTGGATATGGGGTGTGTGTTTGGAGCTGTGAAGGGTGCATGGAGGCCACCCATGGTCCCTATGTAGGCGCAGGTGTCCTGTGGCTGGCCACAGTGACAAACAAGTCCGAAACCGGCTGCCGCCAACCATATATTCATACAATTAGGCAGCGGCACCGAAGCTATGGTGCATCTTACTTCTAACCAACTTGTAGAATGTTGACGATGAGAACGAGTAACTTCAAATTTACTGAAATGGTGTGAAGGAAATTATAGTCCAAAAAGTTTGTCCCTGAAGGCTATTGGACATGAGTAACTCGAACAACGACCCATATAAGCGAAAAAACGAAATTCCGTCGCATACTGTAAGGGGCGACGCTATGGCCGCGGAATACATGAAGTTCCAAACGATTTCGCCGCAATGTGCTGGCGCTACTGTGTCTGATCCTCGATTTAACGAGCACTGTTTCGTATGGGATGCGTCAGAACTACGCCGGTACGTTAATCTCTCTCGGTGCCACGACACAATCAATGTCCGCGGGCGGCTTAAGGCTCCTGGAAGGCCGTCAGTACGTCCGCATCAACGACCCGGCTACATGAGGGGTACAAGACAAACGCTTTGTCCAATCTAGTACAGAATACAAAACAAAAATTTAGGGATGCGGAAAACGTGTAAGTGTTTGCTGTCGTAAACAATCGGTAAAATAAAGCTAGAAAGTGTCAAAAATTAAACCAGCCGAGTTTTGCCATGGCAAGAAGGTGGGTAATTGGCACATAGTGTTACGGTGTAACATACAGCCTTGCATATATGGACAATACGCGGTGTACACTAAAACAACTTTAGAACTTACCCTGCCTGTGTATATACATGCATTATAGCCGAGGTCCTCACAACCAATTGCTCCGGTGAGATGGTGTCACCATAAGCCAACTCATAGACCTGAGCCGATTTACGAGCCTGGTTAACGTGGACGCGATAATCGGGAGACAGGCCGCTGTACGTCATTCCGATATTTTTAATGATTTTTTCGATTTTTTGGATGATACTTTCGTCAATAAGTTTGGCGTTGAACTTTTTCTCTATGGCCAAAACAACACCATCGTTCGCGCGGATACCCACTGACGGGGTGCCCACTTCAATTGCCTTTAAAGCGTACTCTATTTGTACAAGCTTCCCAGAAGGACTTATTTTGCTTACATGGATATGATCGAGACCTACCTGAAGGTGGTCAGTGCAAAGCTGTAAAGCTCAGCCGTGCTTAATCAGAAAGGAACCTACATAGCAACTTAATTCAAACATCATCACCACTAAACTAGATGATTTTCCTGTCGTTAAAACTTTATAATCGGAACAATTTGGAGATTTCATTATAACGCAATTTGTCGACAGTTAGACACCACAAAAGTACGTTATGGATCATAAAACCCCATGACACTGATCAGGAGTCATCGTTCCCGCATATATTTTGATAGGATGGTTTGAAGGCATTCTAGCTTCTGTGCTTTTGATCCCCAAAAGCTAATATAAGTCATCGCCACTGCGGGAATTTGCATGAACATACTACTAACTTGGTTACTGCCAATTCACATGAACGACAGGTAGGGCGGTGGACGATGTTCAGGACTGGTACTAAGTGACTCCAACCGATACATAGCTCTTCTTCTGCCGGTAGCTACACGGTTGTTAGCTGAACCAGGAAATACAGTGTGGGGTGGTGACAGGGTGGTTGTTCAGAGCCATTCTAAATTGGAATTGCGTGCCAAATTGTATGACAATACCAGGGCAAGCATCGAAACTGCTTTCATGGGATTTAAATCGCTAATTAGTACTAGGAATCGAAAGTATCAGGCATGGATATCAGCGCTAGCACAGCTCTGTAACAAAATTAAACGGCGAGTTATTTGATCCGCCCTAGTTCCAGAGTAATGTCGTTTACCACGGTCACTTTTGGCTGTTACGCATAACTCCAAAGGCTTGTAAATGATTTAATAGTCCCTTCTCACAGGAGGAGCTGTTACATGTAAAGGCGAATCCAGGTAGTTGTTAACTCAAGGACACCTTGAGTTTTGCTTGCGAAAATGCTGGGCGGCCATAACCAGTGCTTTGTAATTATATGCGTTTTGGAACAAATCATCAAACGCCTCGAAGTGACGGTATGTTACCGACCCCAGTTCAACATATCTACGACTAGTAAAGATGGTTTGCTGGCTGATAAGTGAGGTTTGGAAAGCGACAGATCACACTTGCTTGCGCAACGATTCCTGTAGACAAAACGGATCGCAAACCACTGGAGTGGATATAGACAATGAAAGATTCTGCTGGCAACGTGCCCAATATACACTTCATCATCTGCTGAGCATTCACATTCTAAGTATAGACAGGAGTGCCACGTAACTATTTTTATTTTTTCCTGAAATCAGACCACTCCAGCGGTGATGTATCTAATCAGTGTCTCGTTTGGAGAAAATCAGAAACGACTAAAATGAGAGAAATGGAAGGATACGCTGTTGGGTAAAAGGCTTCCGGCACCAGTAAATAAACCATCAATGGAAACTCACAGGAAAACGAAAGGATGCGCTTATTTTAAAGGGATTTGTCATAGTGTAAAGTACATGAGAGCAGATTCATTGTTCAATATCAAAGATGGTAGGGTGAATACTGATTTTTACCAAAAAGCCAAGAAAGTAGCGTGAGCTTGTGTATTAGGAAATCGTTCCATAGTAAATCGAGTGTGCCTTTTCAGGCAACAATTGTAAGAACAAGGCATGAAGAACTCTTTTCCAAATGGAGTGCAGGTTTGCTAGTTGTGTCAGTGAGGGACTTTGGAGTAATATATTCCGTATCGCTGAACTTTTCCGAGCATATCTCATATAAAATAGCAAAGGCAAGGCTATTGAGAGCCGATATCACTTAATCCTTTGTTTTACCTGAAGCGAGAGTGGAAATGTTTAGGAATATCATCCTGTGGCATCCGGATAATTTGCATCACCTAGTGTGTATTGAATGAGAAGCCAACTCATTAATAACGCTACCTGTTACTCTAAATTTCTGCAATATTTTATCACACCTAATCATACGGCGTCGCCCATTGTCGCGAGATATGCTAATTGGCTACTTAGTTCGTTGATATTTCTACCTCCTAATCTAACTATTTCATCTTATTCTCCTGTTATTCTGTTGGTCATGAGTGGGTCGATCTCCTGAGGTGATGGTTTGAAGCTTCTAAGCAACACGTATACCCACGCCAAAAGACCCACTGGTGTATAGAAAAAGTGTGTTGAAATCAAAAATACAGTCCAATCTGAACTGTTGAATTCACACTTTATGGTATATGACACCAACCGGTGATCCAGATCATCATGCACGCAAAAGAACTATGAATGACCAAGG